ATATATTATATATCAATATATATATTGTCCAGGATGCAACAGTTTTCCGTTTAACAGTTGAAAATAGGAAATATCTCCTACTGTGAATTGTGCTTTGATGAAGTGAAACTAAGAACCTGTCCTGTTCTTTGTCTCTTTCTTTTGGGAATTTATACAGAAGGCAGAGAGATATTGGATGAAGCAAGTTGAAGGTGAATATATTATTGAGGTTACTGTTGCTTGTGTCTCTTGGTGGTCTTCCAGTACACAAGTTTTTATTTGAGGTGGTCTTTGAGGCTGATGTTGTATTGTTGTATGTTGACAGCCTAGTATTTTGACAGGGAGGGGAACTTGCCTGTTACCAATATTAAGGGAATGTCTGATATGCTATGTTCAGTTTCTGTTGCAGGATAGAGTCAAAAGTACATGGACTGAAAATAGCTTTGTACACTACTCTGTACTATTAATGTGTGGTTTGGGGTTTTTTTTTTAAAGAAACTCTAGGTAATAAAAGTATTTCTATGACTTTACCCCAAAATAAGAAGGTTCAAAATCTCTCCTGTCTTATTACTTTTCATGTTGGAAAAGAACCATGAATTCTAAATAGCTGATTTTTCCAGCTCAGTTGTAACCATACTGTACCATATATTGTGTTCAAGGTATTTACTATGGGTATATATAGCTATGGGGGAAGATGCAGGCTTTATTTAAGCATGCAGTTGAGGTGATGGCTATTGGAGCTATTTAGTTGAAAGTTATCTCAGCAGTAACCTGTAAAACTGTCATGGTTAAGCACTGGTAAAACAGACATTGTCCAGACATTTTTCAGGCAACATACATCAATATTTGCTCTGTGAAAGTGATAATCTTTTCACTGACTATAAGAACTTCCCTTTAATGCAAGTTACAAGAGTTCAGTCTTAATTAAAAACTACACTTTCAAGCAGTATTCTTAATATGATAAAACAGTTGTATTTCAGTTACTGTTGTTTTGCTTCTCACACTGGGGGGTTAGTCTTAGCAGTAAATGGCTTTTCCCTTATTTCAATTTTGCTCTCAAAAAATCTGCTGCTGCTTTTTCTTGATGCGTATCTATTTTTATTTATAGGCCTTTCTTAAAACTTTCCATGTCTAAATGGACTCCTGAATGTAATATAGTTTATACCCTAAAAGTGGATATGAAAAGTGGAGTTCCTTCTGATGCACCAAAGAAAGAGGAGAGTCTGAAGGGGATCTTGAACCCTGAGCCTGTTGGGGCAGCCAAAAGCTTCACTGCAGAAGTTGAGATGATTGCTGGTAAAGTAGGGAATGAGTTCTCTCACTTATGTGGTGATTCTCAAAAGCAGAAGGACATGGATGGCGACCGGACAGACCAAGACAAAAGTATTGTGGTGCGAAGAAAACGCAAGAGCCAGCAGGCTGGTCCTTCATATACTCAAACTTGTCCTCATAAAGAAAACCAAGGAATTTCAGCATTAAGACAGTGTCTAGAAACACAGAGTGAAGACAATGATTCTTCTTTTAGTGAATGTATCTCTTCACCTTCATCTAGCCTACACTTTGGAGACTCTGACACGGTGACATCTGATGAAGAAAAAGATGGTCCTGTAAGACACCCTCAGGCAGTGTTGAATACTACAAGTAGAACTCATAGTGTAAGGTCCCAAAAGCGGCCTCGGACTGAGGCAGACTCTGAATCTGGGTTATTAACAAAAAGGCCCTGTATTCACAGCAGTCCTGTAAGAAGACTTCCATATAGGAAGAGATTTGTGAAAACAAATTCGTCACAGCGGACACAGAACCAAAAAGAAAGAATTTTAATGCAGAGGAAAAAGCGGGAAGTGTTAGCTCGAAGAAAGTACGCTTTACTAACCAGCTCTAGCAGTTCCAGTGAGAATGATCTCAGTAGTGAATCTTCTTCCGGTTCATCTACTGAAGGGGAGGAAGACTTATGTGTGTCAGCTGGTGAAAACCACCAGAGCAGTACACCTGTTCCTTCAGGTAAAACTAAATTCTTGAGGTACTTTTTATTAATGAGCTTTCATCATGTACAATATGCTTTTTTTTATAAGTGCTTTGGAACAGTTGTTTTTGTGTTTGTATAGAAGTTGTACTACAAATACACTTATTGCAAGTAATGTGAACATTACACCGAAAATTCTTGATGGGCAAAGCACATTCAGAGCTTCCAGTAAAATTACAACAAATCTAGAATCTTTAACGGAAAAGGTAAAAGTAGTGGTTTCTAAACAATGTACTGGGAGGTTGCTGAGATTAGTCACACGCTGTGGAGTTGCTAGATTTGTTTTTTGGGGGTTGGTTTGGGGGTTTTTTGGCTGTTGAATTACATTAAAAACTTTAGCTATTATGGCTTTGTTAACTGATGATGGGAATAACAATTCTGTCTGGTTTCAGAATGTAGAAACATCTGCTAATACATAATTAACAACTTGACAGTTTAAAAAAAACTATGAGAAGAAAAAAAAAATTGGTCATTGTGATAAGAGCCTGAAATAGGATTCAGTTGAAGGTACCTTTAGTATTGCAATAATAAGAGAAAATTCTAGGGCCTGAAATTGTGGAAAGCAAAGTACTGTATATATACCAGATCTTTTAGCTGGATAAACTCAATGCAATAATCTTGCAGTTGGTTTATATAGCTGTTTACCCAGTATGTCTGTCTAATATGGATTTGAGGGTGTGCTGAAACATTTGAGGGGGGTTTTTTTGGTGAGTGTTTTGGGTTTTTTTTTTTTGTTAGGGTGTTTGGGTGTTGTGTGCTGGTTCTTTCTTTTTTTTTTTTTTTTTTTTTTTTTTTTTTTTTCTTCTTCCATCTACCAGTTTTTTTGGGCTTCCTTCAGTCTTAAATTTGCCAAGTGAAAGGCAGTCCCAAAACTGGAACAATAATGTTCAGTGTTGTGGTTGTGTCTTCTGTTAATCATTTTAGTTTTTTGGAGAGCGTGGGGAAGTAGACACACAGAACACAGCACAGTGTTAATCTGTGCAACCATGTGTTTTGGATAGTGACAAATGTGTTTTAGAAAGTGAAACCATATTTCAGACTGCGCTGAAATTCCTCTAAGACTGTGCTTAAGTCATTCCTCTGAGAAAAAATGAGTGCAAATACAAGGACAAGTCTAAAAAAAAAAAGTGTATGTTCATGTTATGGCAGGATTTATGCTTGAACAGAACCAGAGTACTAGAGACTAGATTATTGCTTGTTATCCATTGCAACAGGAAATAATTTGTGTCTTGTTCTTTAATGTACTCTTTAGATACAAGAAGTAAAATTTGTAATGCAAAAATCTTACTTATGCAGTGCTAGGGCTGCATAAATAACTCTGAAGCAGAAGAATTATTGCACAGCCATCATTATCTTCATGCATATTTGTGGGGCAGAAATCTAATTTTTTTCAGCCTAAAAATGTTATGTTTGAGACACATGTTCAAGCCTATTGAAGGGTACGATTTGTAAAAATATATGGGGATATACATATATTAATATTAAAAACCATTTGGGGAAACTACTGTGTTAACACTTGTGTTTTCAGGTTAAGAGTTTCTCCTCATTTTCAGAGAGGATGGAGTTTCGTGTAACTGTACAATGATGTAGGACAATTAACAACTCTCTTTCCACACAGCACCGTGCGGCAGTGTATGGATGAGAAAATGTAGAATGTGGCTTCTTAGGCGACCATCTATTTCTAACCATGATCAATGTATTTAAAGAGAGAATTTACAATTTTTTGTTTTTAGTCTACTTGAAGTGTTAAAACCTACTGCCCTCGTTTCGCACAAATTCAATTAATATCACTTCTGCGCTTTTATTTCTCTTGAAGTATAGAAGAGGCATTTCCATAGTGAGGCTTTCTGTAGACATTTTGAAAGAATCTTTTTGGAGAGAAATCTCTTTAAAAATTTATGTAATGATCAGTGACTATTGAGGCTGTTCAGGTAACTTCTGATAATTCAGTGATTCAGTCTGATATTGTTTTGATGGTAGGAAGACTGCAGTTTGTTTCATCTAGTTATGTGGAAAAGTGCATTAATTTTTGTACTACTTGAAAAGCACATTTAATTAATTTATGAAGTTCTGTTTATTGTCATGTCATGAATGACAAATCTGTTAGCTCTCCACCAGTTCATTTTACATTAAAATAGTGACATCAGTTGTAACTGAAATAAGGTATCCTTTAAAGAATGTGTACCGTGGTGGCTTTACTTGGGCTGACACTTGCAGTGAGCTGAGAAGTAATTCTGGTTTAGAGTGTGTGAATAACTGTGGGTTATTTCCAGTGCAAATATGTATTGATGGGAAGGTTTGAACACTTTATTTACATAGCAGATAAAAAGAGAAGTTGAGCAGACTTTCTGTATAAGTGTCCTATTTTTAGTAAGATAAAAGTGTGATTAACACTTTCTGTAGCTTTCTGCTGTTACATAAGGCATTTCCAGTTATTAATTGGGACAGAAGTGGGGCCAGCTGGAAAAAGAGCTATGCAGCTTCTCTGTGCAGTGGGCACGCATGATGGTGTTGCTACATGGGGAAAGGATTGTATTGCTAGTAATCCTACACTAGCCTGTTAATATTAGGGAAGAATTTCTTTTGCTCTAGATTGGCATGTGAAGGTAATGTATGCATTTGCTTGAAACTACAGAATATACTGAAGGACAAAGAACTTCTAAGACTAATATGAGGCCTGCAGCATATATATAAAAATACCGGAGGATAGACTTAAGAAAGAAGGAGAATAATAATAATCAGGGCAGAAAATACAATTTAAAAAGATATGGTAATAACTGAATTTTTAATAAGCAGGCATCAAAATGATGTGATTAGTCTTAGAGCCTACTTAATAGCAATCTGTGTTAAGGATATGTCACAAAATATTGCTTTGAATGCTGATGTTTGTCTAAAGATACAATGCATTTAAAGAACCAGTAAATTTAATTTTTTTATACTGTTCTGGAAAATGTTTCTTTCTGATTATTGCAAGAAATTAAAAGTAACAGATCTTTTCAATCTAATAAGTGTTTAGTAGGCTAGTTGTTGTAGTTAATAAAACTAACTTGTCTATTTTTGGAAAATTATATGAATGGAGATATGTGTGGGTTTTTTGTTTGGTGTGTTTTGTTCTTTTTCTTTTTTACCAAAACCTTTTACAAAATCTTTACCAGAAAAACCCCCAAACAACACTGGGTAGGGTTTTTCTTCCATTTCCTTTTCTGTCAGGGCTTCAGCTGGTTTTCTGGTGAAACTTCATGCATTGGGAGTGGGAGAGCATTGAACAAGTACAAAATCCTGACACCTGGGAATAGATTTTATTGTTTAACCAACTGTTTGCCATAAAAGGTAGTTGTCCTCATTAAATCTGGGATGACCAGGTAAAGCTCATTCAGGAGACGGAGGAGAGTGGGGGGTGTAAGGACAATGTTAAAAACAACTATGTATAGTTTAATGATACAGTTCCAGTTGAAGGTGCAGGTGCTTTCAGGGATATATATTCTAATCTGAATGTTGATCAGTTGGTTTTAATATAACTACTGGGCTTACAGTTAAAATGACAGCAAGCAGCAACATTTTGGCTGTGAAATGCAAATTTTAATTCTGTGTTTTGTTTAGGTCACTCAGAAACTTTTCTCTAACCCTCAGAGGACCTGTATACACACCTATAGAGATAATCCTCTTTTGACTTTCCTTGTTAAAGGTGGAAAAATTGTAACTGTTCCTGTAATTGTATCTCTGTAATGTTGTCATGCAAATTTTCTGATACGCTTGTGCAGATACTGTATTTTCAGCTTGTATTTAAAGGGCTGGGGTGCCATCTGGAGACAGCCAATCTACGGAGGGAAATCTAGCAACGGCTGAAATTGGAACAAGTTGTTAGCCTCACATACTCTGATTTGTCAGTAAAGCTGAACCCTTGGAAATGGGAAAGTGGTGTTATAAAAAAAGCTGGTTAAAATTTTGCATTGTCATAAATTGTTCACTTAATAGCACTTAAATTTCCTTCAGGGTCTGACATGTTACTTTATATTTTTGAGCAGCTAGTGCTAGACAGGCTTTGCCTCTTTCCTTAGAGTGTAGTACTGATGAGAAGATGCTCCAGTTCTTGTTCAGAGCTGCTTAGAATGGTAAGACTGAGTTTATTCACTACCATCCTCTTGATTCCTCTAACATATTTGTTGTCTGTCTCCCAAAAACTTTGGATATAGACATCTGATATTTTAAAAACCAGAGGCTAGTGAAAATATTAAACATACTGCTTATGTTCAGATTATTTTAACAGGTTCAAGATAAACATGTATTAAGGGGAAATGAGCTGCCTGTTGTTAGAGTTGATTATTTTTCAGTAACTTAATCCCTCCTAAAACTCTAGCGTGCACTCCTTTTCTCACAGTAACCGATGCAGCTCATAATTCAGAGCTTTGATCTCAATAACATTAGTGGACAAGGAAGCAAATACATATCCTTTCTGCTGTGCCTCTTCGTAGAGGGGGGCTGGAGAAGATCTGGGAAGCAGTGAGGAAAGAAGCACCTGGCTTTGTGAGCAGCTGGCATTAACCATTGTTGCTATATCTGCCTGCTGTGAATTGGAGCTTTAAATAGCTACAGTAATAAAAGTTAGTGGGGCATTCACTTCAGTACTTACCTGTAGCTGCTGCAGCTTTCTGTGTTGAAAATATGCGACTTCTAGAATTGGCATTGCTGATAGGACTAAGACTTATGTGCTTGGTTAAGAACTATCAGAGTTTTGGATTAGCCCATATTAGCATGGCTCACAGTTGGACAAGATCCCATAAACTCTGGTTGTTGCCTGTCTTTTCCACCAGGGTGCAGGCCCCTAAGCAATCTGTATGTTTTTGAAAATTTCTGCCATTATGCACAGCTGTTGGAAAGTCTATTACATGTAAGTCTTGGATACAGAAAAATTGTTGTCTTCTAACCTAGTGTCACTGAACACTAAGGTTCATTTAGGGATCCTTGGCCGAGTGATGCG